CGAAGGGACGTATGTCCGTTTCAAGGTTGCCAGATTGAGTTGAGCGATTCATTTTTGGACGAGAAAATGACTGCGCCAAGTCCGTTCAAAATTTTGTTGATTTTCGCTCGAGACGAGAAGAATACTGCCGTGCTAAGGAAGAACGCCGTATGAACATTCGAGAGTTGCCAAATTTACTTCGATGGAATTTTTATTTTTAAGGAAAGTTATGAGTATTTTCCCTTTAATTTTCCAGGGCTTTTCAATGGAATTGCAAACAAAATTGGACCGCGTGAAACAGAAAGGAACCAAGCCGCATCAGCTATTGCCAAATTTAATTGGGCAATTTAATTTTTTACATGAAAACGGTTGTGCGGATTTTCGTGCAAATTTCTGTGAAAATTCTCCATGGTGCGAAGCAAATTCCTTAAATTTTCAATGAAATCCGAACAAAAGTTTTCTCGTAAAAAATTTAATTGCCCAGTTAAACTTGGCAATAGCTGATGTGGCTTGGTTCCTTTCTGTTAAACTCGGTCCAATTATCTGAAAAATTGGAGGGGAAATATTCATGAAGTTACCAGAAAATTCGCGTTTTATGAAAGGAAATCTGGCAACGCCTGAAGGCTCAGACAGCGTTTTTCCTTAGCACGGCAGGATAGAACGGCGAAATTTCAGTTGAAAGAGCTCGATGGTTTCCAGCCTCTGCACTGATTACGAGTGGAAATTTCGCAACGTTGAAATGCAGTTACGTTCTTTCGCTTGTATGGGAATCTATGGACTGTCATACGATGAGGCCTCGAACCATGTCCACGATACTGCCGTGTTAAGGAAGAACGCCGTATGAACATTCGGGAGTTGCCAAATTTCTCTTGATAAAACCTGTGATTTCGACAAAATTCATGCATATTTTTCCTTGCAATTTTCAGATATTTTAGATTAAATTGTGTCCAAAATTGTCTGAAAATTTGAGAAAATTATATTCACAATTTTCCCAGTAATTTCGGTTTTTATTGGAGGAAACTTGGCAACGTCTGAAGGCTCATACGGCGTTCTTCCTTAGCACAGCAGGATAGAGATGATTGTCACAAAAGTTGGTAAACTATTTTTCCTCCGTTTAACTCCGTTTTATTAAATAATCGATTCTAGTCGAGGAGACCTGCCTTGCTAAAGAAAAGAATATGATTTGAGATGCAGTGATACAAGCATGGCAATAACGAACAGACACTATGGTGGCAAATACTGTAACTCTAACAGCATTTACGAAAAGCGTAGTAAATGCTAAGAAATGGCTGGTTGTTCTTACCCTACCGTTCCACTGTATCAAAACTCAAGTAGACACTCCTGATAGAATTTAGCACACTTCTGGTATAATTTGCCTTACTTTTTTTCAGTGCTGCTAAAAGCAATACATATCGATAAATTGACACTGTAGATATTAGGTGTCGTTACATATACCAATACTTTTACATTGTCAAAACCCATTATTGTAAAACTTCAAGAATCGCCACTATATCTGCCCGAACTACGGAGCGCTCGCAGTCACAGATGGAACTAGGAACTTCTCAT